TATTTTCCATTGCTGACATACTCGAATAAAACATTCAAATACTAGCTGTCGCCCGCGACTCTGTCCGCGCCAGATAAAAAAATAGTTAGTAGCCGTATTTCAGACTTACTGAATATGCATAAAAAAATCTTACAAGTAGTTTCAGTGGAGTATGGTAACCTGACATCGTGACACGAGAATTATAAATATATAACAAGCCATCGCCCGCGGGTCCGTCCACACAGGATAAATAACTTAACTTGAAAAATGAGTAGCTTATGTGTTGTTCCAGACTATGTTCCACATCTGTGCCAAATTTCAGTGAGATCGATGGAGCAGTTCTGGAGGTACCTTCTAACAAACATCCATCCATTGGTATGATTATGTGGCGAAAAAACAACGGTTTCAATAATAATATTTCTTATTTAAACTTATCTATATCTTTCTTTTATATATATTATATATATTATTATTATTATTATTATTGAAACCGTTATCTATAATTGAAAATTGGTGAGGAGATAGCTTAGAGCCAGGAGGCGGACATAGGATACTATAATATATATTTTTTTTTTTTCGAATTTATGCCTTGAAGAGCTTTTATTTAAATACGAGTGTTTAGATGGATGATATGTGGATGGATGGATGGATGGGTGTTTAAAGATATCTCTAGAACGGACGTATAGAACATAGTACGGAAGAACACATAGGCTACACTAATTAACTTTTTTTATATATCCACGCGGACGGAGTCGCGGGCGACAGCTAGTATTTTAATAAATAGGTACATTTGATATAACATTAAAATTTTATCAAGTATTAAATTCAGCACATTTATGTTTGCGATTGACCAACATCGAGTGTAAACAAAATTTTAATCGCAAAGGGAAGATTTGTATTTCATTGGAAAAGTCCACTTCGACAAACTTTACAAGAAACTAATTTCCTTCAGCTTCGTGAATTTGTATTGGGAAAATATTTCAATGGTTTGCATTCGAAGCTTCGTATTAAGGCATAATAAGTTTACTTTGAGTAGAAGCATATTTATTCAATTTCATCCTCCATAAAAAGATTTTAATAATTTTGTACATTAATTCTAAGATCTTTTTTTTAGATGGTATTTGTAATTCTATTATTTTTTACCGATACATGATAATTTATTTAATATAATAAAAAATGTTTGCGTATTAGTTCATTAATTCATTGTAGAAATTTATTACGATTCAGATGTCATAGATAATAATTAAATCGAATTTAGAAACCAAAGTGTAATTATTAGATATTTTAATTGGTTCTAATCTGTTGATACTATGATGGGTAATTAAGTTGTCAAATTCAGTTCAAATTACAGACATCCTTAACGTTGATATAACATTAATTGAAAGCTCAATTAGAATTTGACTTGATTGCAAAGATGAAAACAGAACTAACTTAGGCCTTTAATAATAGGACACATCTTACTAATTTTACTTCTTACCTATATTATATGCCTATGTTTAAATAGATGGATGTTTGTTAGAAAGTATGTATATCCAGAACGGCTGCAAGAAACTCGCTGAAATTTAGCATAAATGTAAAACGTAGTCTGGAACACATCGGCTACTAATTAAGTATTTATAAACACGCGCGGACGGAGTCGAAGGACGACAGCTAGTTTGAAAGAAAAAATGCCCATGTCTCCTGTTAATATCTCCAGTTAAGCTCATCCAAACTTCTGTCCATACAACCTGTGATAACTCAATTAAGGTTGCAACAACTTCTTCACTATTAGCCAGTAAAAGTCCAACTTTAGAATGTCGATAATCAATCAATTATAGAACTTTATATGGATCGACATTTGTCAACAAAGAAATTACTTTTTGTACTTAAAGTAAAAGCAAAGTTGGCGAACCAGAAATTTCTATTAAAGCCTGTACTAACTTAATTTCAACTTCTTACGGTAATGAAATAAAGAAGTTGTGTCTTCAACTCGCAGTTCATCTATTAAAAGTTAGAGTTAAAACTTATTTAATAATTCAACTTTTCAAAGATAAATATGTCTGAAAAAAGAAATAGAAAGATAAGATTTATTGTGATATGTTTTTTTTATCATTCGGTTTTAGGCAAAAGTTAAAATTGGGCCGATCGTTGTTCAATATTACTCTATCTTATTTGTCATTGGACGAATTTCGGTATATTGAAAATCTAATAGAATTACAATTTCCATCAATTGAGAACGGATACGCACAAGATGCGAGGGGGATAATGGGGATGGATGTGATCGAATCAGTTAGACGCATCGTCGGCTTTGTCGGCACGACGAGCAAATTACATTCCAATGGTTTAAATTATATAGTACCTATTAGCAAAAGAAATAAATTAAAGCCAAATGATATGGCTTGAAAGCAATATACAAATAATTGTTCTTTAAATTTTAACAGACAGTATATTTCTTTTGAAGAAACAAATGTAAATTCAATAATGTATGCGACAACGTAGAATAGTGTCCATGCAGATTTTATCAATGTTGTACTTAAAACGGAAAACTGACAGAGATAATATATGCTGGTAGAAGGAAAATACACAAAGACAAAAATAATTTTTTTATATGTTTTAGAATGTCGAACAGTCCTGAAACATTTTTTAAAAGCAAGTCGTTGTTAAATTTGTTTAGGTATGTTCAATATTCTCATTTGTGATAAATATAATAAATACATTTAGAATTTTATTGCGTTTACAAATAAAAGTTTTAGCCTAAAATATCCAAGTCAAACAATTTAATAAAAAACAGAAAAAGAACAAAACCCAAAATGAAATAATATTTTTGGGTCGAGAGGTTTTTTAATAGGATCGGTAAAATTGCTTCAAAGGTACGATTTTATTTGAGAATATCAAATATGATTTGTTCTATTTCATTTTATTTAAAACTCTAATCTTATTAAATTTATGATTTGTGGATGAAATTTATGATACAGCTTCTTATTTCAAATGTCTGTCCATACTTAAGTGTTTAATGTTTTTAACCTTTGTTGGTAAGGATGTGTCTGTTGAATACCTAAAATAGTTTGTCTCTACCACACCGAGCTACAAACAAAATTATTTGACCATTAACGAAACGGTCACGAAAATAAAAGCACATCTTCTATTTTACTAGAGTTAGTAGGCAAGTATACTTTGCTCGGACAACATTAATTCTAATACGAAGTTCGATAATGGGAATGTAGCAAGAATAACGAGTCACTTGGGCAATACAGTTGATAACTGTTAGTACAATATACCTTGTTCAAAGCAGGGAAATAAATCCTTTGTGGAAAAACGAAACAGATTAGTTGCATTTTTTAATAGTACGTGGTTGAAAAACTATTACGTTTTACGTTAAAGAGTAACATGATTTTTAGTTCAGTCCAAAGCGATCGGAGATGGAATCTTTAATCAAACAATACGAATTTTAATTTAAAGGTTTTTAAATTACTCGAAACAACAGATTAATCTTACTAATATTATAAATAATGTTTGGATGGATGTTTGTTAGAAGGTATCTACGGAACGGCTGCATGGATCTCGCTGAAATTTGGCATAGATGTAGAACAGATACTAAAAGAACACATAGACCACTTATTAAGTCTTTTTTTAATTCCGCGCAGACGGAGTCGTGAGCGACAGATAGTTCTCGTCATATATCTAAAACCTATGTTTCTGATTACATTCAATTCTTAGATTGTTAGATTTTATTTGTGTTATAAATTACGTGAAGTGCTACGTTCAACTTCATTTACTTTTAATATAAAAAAGACCGTGTTGGACCCTTTTTCCAAAATAAATGAATTTTATCCCGTATAGCAATTTTAGCGTGACGTTGGTAAATACATAAGTATTTTCCCCTTCGCCTTCTTGTCTCTCGCTTGAGGTACCATTACGGTAATAAAAATGTCTTGTGACGAGAATAAAATGGTTGATACCTTGACGTAGGTACCAATTAGGAAGGCGCGTTTATTTTTTTAACATTATGCAGTAAAACTGTCTAACTGTTTTTCCTCTTATCATGTAAACGATGTAAAAAACATACACTGTTTTATAAGAAAAGACATTATAAAACTACGGCAAAAAATACTTGTACGACTACATTTAAGTTATTGAATTGAAGCTAAATACTAACAAATATTAATGTTTTGTTCTTAGTTTGATTGTTTGAAACTAAAATTTGTCTAATAAAATAATGGAACTTCTCTATTACTTTGTCGTAGAATTATACTCCAAATACTAATGTATACATGTATCCATAGTAATGTATACATGTATACATTTAAAGATAAATTTGGAGAAAAACAAAGAAAAAAATAGACAGTCGTAACGATTAGCAGATGTAGGTAAGGGATTATCATAATATATAGGTACGAATGGTGTATTGGTTAAATTAGTGGGTTTCAGAGGAAACGTATAAAAGCTTTTCCTCACTTCATTCGTGAAGATTTCATTTCATTAGCGGATACTGCGAGACTCAGAATGCCTCCGCTGTGTAAATGAGGTCTTCCGGTATGTATGTCGCAGGTTATTTCTTAATTTAACCTAGTTTTATATTATCTACTGTTCTGTAATAAATAATATTACGTAGACAAATAGTTACGGAATTCATTTATGAAGGAGCTAAAATGTTTATTGAGTAGAAAAACAATGGAACATCGAATGTTATTCAACGCGTTACTTCTTTTGGTCCTGCTCTTAATTCTTTTTTCAAGCTATAAAGGTGAATATACACTAGAGCATTTTTTTGAGCATTTCTATGTAATGTAACGTTCTTAAGAATATTATAAAACAGGTGAAAGCATAATTTCCAAGCAATATGTGGTTCGTGAAAGCGTAATACATTTGAACATCATAGAGGCTCGTTGTTCTGTTTCAAGTTAGCTCTAGTCTATAGTCAACTTAAGAACTTATTAATTACAAAAACATGTCGCAAATGTAGACATATTCCAGTCTCGGGATAATTCAAAAAGGTATAATTTGTTCCGCTTATATTAGATTAATTAAAAAAAATTACCAACCTCTCTTTCCTCAGTTCGCTGTTCCTCTTGCGAAAGTTCGCGACGAGTGCTTGCATTTCAGTCGAGTGCCGCTCATACAGTTGCGATAGCTGCGTTGTAAAGTCAGACACTGGAACAAAAAGCTATTGAGTGTCTTCAATTAAAACTTTCCATATCAATAATAGAATAACTCGTTCAAAGTTTCACTTGACTGGATTTAATAAGTCTTAGGCAACTTTCTAGACTATTATTGTATGATAAGAAATGTTGAAGATTATTTTTATATAAAGTTAAGGACGGATGAACGCAAATCCAAAGAAGTAATATAATGATAAAACTTTATATTTATATGGCTTAGATCAAATAATTCCAACATATATACCACTATTTCTTCATTATTAAAAAAAAATACGAAGCATATAGCAGCAGTACATATAAGCAGCAATACATATAAGATCTTAAATATGTAGTCAATATTTCATATTATAATTATAAAGTTAATAACAAATTACATACTTAAAAATCGTGTAAAAACATAAATAGAATACTTCTTAGAAATAAAACACTACGAGTTTGTTTGTTACATAAATAAAAATTAAAGAAAAAAACTATCATAACAAACGTTACCTGAGTGTGTGTGCGCACACACACTGATATATTGCGATCGATCAATACCTAAATTCATTCCTCACCAATCTTTGTATAAAACATATCATTATACTCGTCATTATGTTTGACAAAACAGAGATAAAAATATGATTTAGATCTTAGAAACCCCCGGTTAGTCGGTCATCATTGCATAGTTCGTTTAGTTTCTAATTTTTAATACGGCAAATGCAACGTCAAAAGTCCCTTTGTAAGTTAACTTTAATGTATTTTACATTAACGCGATGTCGGGTACTGGAGATCATTTATTAAGAGCACGTTCATAAACAGCGGCTTGTTTATACCTCGTTATCACTCGACGTTTGTATCAAACCTTTATAGCACTTTGTGAGGGGACACTAACATTGATTTATGTAATCTCGTTTCTTAAAATTATTTGACAATATAAAGAAAAAGTGATTAGTAAAACTATAAATTACGTGTAAAAATTTAACAATTTAATATTTGACATAATTCAATTCTATTTTTAATCTGATACGCAATTGTTTTTATTTTTATTAAATATGCAAATGTTTTGAAATAATTTAGTACAATAGTTTTCTATCTCTAGTCACAGTTTTTATATCTTACTAATATTATAAATGCGAACGAATGGATGGATGTTTGTTATAAGTTATCTACACAAATGTTAGCATGAATCTCGCTAAAATTTTGCATAATGTAGAACAAAACATGATGGAAAACATCGTGATGCAACCTGCACATATCTGGGAAGAAAATCAAAGATATGTGTGTTGTCAACCAACCCTCACTTGGCTAGCGTGGTTGACTAGGGCCTAATCTAATAACTTAGGGTAGGCTCTGAGCCCTGAGGCTCTGAGCCTCAGCTGAGTGGGGACCTATAGTGAGCTGATGATGATGAAAACATAGCCTGGAAAAAACACATAGGCTCGTAATAACATTCTTTAATTTCCGCACGGACAGAGTCGCGAGCGTTGGCTAGTTTAAAATATTTCTATTTGTGTTATGAGACGTATTACAAATGACATTTGTACTATTCTGTAGGGAATGAAAGTTTACATGACTTGCTGTGTATGCGCGCGCGGCCAGCGGCCGTAATGTAATAATAAAAGTTGCTTAATACTTTCTGAGCTTCGGCGGGAAATGTGAAAGTTAGTACTAGTATCATATTGTTTGATTGTTTGTGACAGTTTATTTTTTGAAATAACTAGAGGGAAAAGCGCGAATTACCTTATATATAAAATTCTCGTGTCACAATTTTCGTTCCCATACTCCACCGAAACGGCTTGACCGATTCTCATGAAATTTTGTGAGCATATTGAGTAGGTCTCTGAGAATCGGCCAACAACTATTTCTAATCCCTCGCGGACGGAGTCGCGGGCGACAGCTGGTAGTTTTATAATATTACTACCTCTCGCCCGCGACTCTGTCCGCTTGAAATTAAAAACAATAAAACTTAAAAGTGACTTATGTGTTCTTCGACACTATGTCCTATATTTATGCCAAAAATCAGAGAGATCTCTTCTTCAGTTGTGGAGATACCTCCTAATAGACATCCATTCATCCGTCCATCTATCTTAACTTTCGAATTTATAATATTAGTAAGATAAAATTATAACTTGGCGATATTCTCAAACGACTCTAAAGTTAAGTTAATCGATAATAAGGTTGTTTAAAATCTTTAACATATTATTTTTTGTAGTAGGTTCTCTTAATAAAATCAATAGTAATTATGGATGAAATAAATGAACACAGTTTAAAAAATCTGCCGCAGTAGTAAAAATTACAAAGTTTGAGTACTGTTTTAAAGTTCAACAATTTAATTCTGCTCACTAGTGAAATGTTTTTACTAATTACGCTGGTATGAATAAAAATCTTTGTTAGTAGAATATACAGTAATTAATCCAATGCAGAGGTTTACGTATAAAAGAACTGACTATACAAAGCTACTTTTGTCTTTCTGTACTACAATGATCGTTTTACATAAACTAGCTTTCGCCCGCGATTCTATCCGAGCGGAATTAGAAAAAAAACTTAATAAGTAGTCTATTTGTTCTTCCAGACTATGTTCTACATCTGTGCCAAACTTCAGCAAGATTCATGCAGCCGTTCTGGAGATACCTTTAAACAAACATCCATCGAAACATTCGTTTATAATATTATAATACTAAGATAGTAAGATGAGTAACAATTAATACTCGATTTAAAATAAATAAAGTTGAACTTGTAGTAAAAATGTTTTATTACCAAAGTCCATTATTATCGTCCATTTTACCTTATACGTTCAATTTACAATGTTCAAAAGTCCCTGTAAGAAGTAAACATTTTTCAAACAAGAAGGTTTTATAGTAATATCAAAATTATACCATGGCTTAGCTGTCACCTCGAAGTGAGAGCACGGAAAAGAAATGCCTTGTACGTCGTCGTTCGATATTATGAATAATTCAAGCGTTATCAGAAGGAAGTGCTTAATTCAGTATTAAAGTAAACTATGTTAATTATTATAGGAATTCTGATTGTTAGGACAAGAAATTCTTTTTTTTTAGTGAGTGTTTTGTTTTGGTGTTAATTATGTAAAAGCTTGTCTCGTAAAGTTAAATAATGCGTTTCTGTAAAATTATTAAAATTTTACGGTCACGTAAAATATAATATTATACATTCCATAAAATATTTACTTTTAAGTTCCAAAGAAGAAAAGAGGTTTTTGAAAATAGTTTCACATTGTTTAAAATGTCAATGTCCAAAAATCAAATACTCTTTGTTGTCAGGATTGATTAAAAATATATATATACAAACATTCTAAAATTGAACGTCGTTTGTGTAGTCTTAAAATCACAAAAAGCTCTTAGCGATTGTAAAGTTTCGTGTACAGCTTAGCGGGGACTACAAGTGTAATAACAAAGTTTGAATAGAGCTTGCGAGTGAAGCCCCGAACAATCCATGCAACGAGGCTTGTTGATCTAACGAATACGACCAAAACTCTGCGCGAATACAATGCAAAATCGAGTTTCCGCAGAAAAATCGGTTTCTATTTAACGAACACCTGGAGACCAAAAATATAAATACTCAAGGATATTTGTACTAAGTACAAGTAACTATAAATAAACATGAATTATTTATTGAAGAGTTCTTGTATAATAGGTCAGAAAATACGTATAATTGTTGAACGTCTCCATTGTTAAAGTTTTGGCTCTTCAAAATTCATTGTACTCAAAGAGAAATTTATAATAAATTTATTATTAATTTTAGGACAAATTTCATTCAATTTTAAAATTGAAACAATGACTTCAGTGCTGTGCAAACGAGAAAATATGCAGATGAAAAGATTTTTTTTTCAGATTTTGTACAATGTCGTAGCGTACGCTCGGGACATATTTAAAGTTTCATGAAAATTAAATATGTATTTTCAGTGCATTGTACTCGTGGTTGTTTGCGTTTGCTATTGTCAAGCAGAACTTTGCAGTTGATACCTTAGAGTACGATACATATGAGAGTTAAGTCTGTTTCAAATGGATAATTGTCACAATATAGTTCAAATAAGAAGTAATGTAGAAATAATAAAAATAAAACTCCGTCCATGCGGAGTGCTTTTCCAGACTATGTTCTACGTCTATATCAAATTTCAACAAGATCCATGAGGCCGTTGTTATAATATTAGTGAGTTTGATTCCTAATAAAATCCTTGTAATAACAAATGCAATACATGGGACGAATTACGTCACCATCGTCTTAAGAATATATAATAAACAATTTCAACAATTGAAAGTAAAGATCCTCCAAAACATAACCCGAAACAGCTTCCCATAGCAATAACAAGATCTAACGCTGTACGAGCCACTTGTCGAGTAATGCGTTCAAAAGGTTTATTGTTTAATTTAAACTGGACTTTAGCTCCACGACGTATTGTTCTAATATCACTAACTTTATTAGACACAATATTATAATCAGATTCAACACACGAGGGCAAACAATCACAATTTAATCCAGTCTCATTTGTACCAGGAATTTTCAGTTTTGCCAATTTTAAATAATTCTTCGTCAGACATCTAAAACCTTCTAAATTACAATATCTATCGTAATAATTAGACGATGAATAATGTGTACAATTGCAAAGATCTAATTGTTTATCAATACGACATTGAATGATACAAGCGGAATAACTGTATCTTTGAAAAACTTGAAAATTAGAAGGAACTTCTTCTGGAAATCTACATTGTCGTTCATATGTTGACATTAGAGAAACTTCTGGTTCATTAACGATGTCAATAATTGAGAATATCATTGTTGCTTGAGCATCATCAGCAATTGTTATACGTCTGTCATATTCCATATTCCAAAATGGTAAATCTTCAGGTGAATGGAGAAAAGCCTCAGCGTTCTTTGATAATGTTAACGTAAATTTATCGACGATGTTTTCTTTCGATGCAACATGTAAATAATTTCCTGAAGTATGTTTATTATTAATTGTATAGCATGTTCCATATTCATTTATAACTGGTTTGA